CCAAATATTGACTAAATTACAGTCAAATTTAATTTTTATTCTCTTGTAAAAATTCTTTTCTTAATTTTTGTCCTTATCTTGGTTTGCTCATCTTTACACATTTTTCATGTAATATCAGATCATTTCTAAATTTATATTTAATTAAATTTATACTAAATTTATCAATATATCCTTAAATAGAATCTCATTTAATATACAATCTATTCCTTTTCATATTTGGATTTAATTAATTTTATATAAAAATTGTACTTTGTACTAATACTACGCTACACTGGTTGACTAATATTTAGTCACATTCACCATTATAGTTTATTATAAATTAAAATTTGGTAATACCTTATTACAAAATTATACAAATCTATATTAAGCTATAACTATACTTAAACCCCTGTATTTGCCTACTATCCTTGCATAACTATATACCTACAACCTTTTATTTAACAAAATATTTCAAAATGCCTATTCTTATAACAACTGAACCAGACTCCTATGATATGAATTATTATTACTCTAAATACAGAGGCCATCATGGACTTGGTATGAATGAGGAAACTTCCAAATTACTCTGTGTTCTTCCATCAGATGTTAACCCTAATCAATGTGAAAGTCTTAAGAAAAAATAGTATTACTTCAAAGTTCCTACCTAACCGACTATTGGCACATGCTTATGTGGTCAATTTCATACAAATTTTACCTCTTGCTACTACAAAATTTTTCAACCTACTATTCTCAGTCTTTCTAATATGCAAATCTCTCCAATTATCTCTACTAAATGCTTTGAAAAAATTAGTGATACTCTACTTGCATCTTCAATTGTTAAACAACTTGTAACCCAACTTCCTAATTCCACTATTCTTTTTCCTTCATTCAATACCAATCCTACATCAACTACTATTATTCCTCACTCTCAACATGTTCATACATGTGTTTTATGCAATATCAAAAATCTTCCTTATATTCTTTCTTAAAAAAACAAACATTTACCAGATTATACCACAGCAATTCTTTTTAGAACTCAACTCATTCATTGTAGTTGTACTCACAGAATTATTGATATCAAATTACATCATCTTCCTTAAACTAAACCTTTAACTTAAGAACAAAAGAAAATGTCTCATATATCTAAATTTATTTTATTTAACAAAATTAAAAAATTGAAACTCTTCAAAGAAATTTTATCTAAATTTCCTAAAAAGAATACCAAATCTCAACAACAAAAATGAGATACTTCTCAAGATCTTGACTGGTTTAAATTATTTCCAATTACAAAAGAAATGGAACTCAACTCAAAACTTAATACTCCACTTTCTCAACAATTATTTGAGTTTTTTAAACCCAATTTAATTCAATTCGCACTTGGTAAAACCATTCCTTCTGAAAACCCAGATATTAAATCTACTTTTAAATACTTTTTTGATTACTTATTAAAAAATATGGCAGAGCAAAAATTCAAATTCTTAGTGGACTTAGTTTATAAAACTAATCCATCAATTGACACTCATATTCCAATTCCTACAGAAATCTTAATTAATACTCTAAAACTTATTCTCTCTAAATTTCTTAATATACTCTTTACAAAACTCAATTATAAAAAAATTTTCTAATCTCATTATATTATCCCACTATATACATTTCAAAATCGACTTCAAGTTGTTATTAATCTTACATGTTTACATCTTTTTTTTAACTTCACTTATAAAATAATTCACACAAAAAAATTTGCAGAAGATCTAAATCTTCAACCACTTCGTCTTACCTTATATTATAACATTAGTTATAACTTAATTAACAAAGCTTCTTTTCAAATACAAAATGATGAAAAATTAAATGTTAATATTTCTTTCAATATTAATATAGAAAAATTTAAAAATACCTTCCAAATACCTTTTTTTAAACTACACAAAGCAATTCTTGAAAACTGGTTTGATAAATTCTTTGAAATTTATAAACATCACTCTCCAAACATTATAAAAACCAAAGTTCTTAACTTTCTTAAATATCAAACAGCAACCAAATATGCTGAAGTACATAAAAAGTTACTATCACAATTTTTCATTATTGAATCTATTACATCTCTTCAAGAGCATACTCTATTAGTTAGAAAACTTGCTCTTTTTCATGTTCATACTTACAAAAACTCTGATAAACATAAATGCATAGTCTTTCTATCTAATACTGAACATAATTTTCAAAATCTCTCAATATATTATTTTGATCAATCTTTTAAAAAATTTCCTGCTTCAGTTTCTGACAAATCAAGCTTATCTACCAAATCAACCAACCAGCATGGACTCATCCTGCCTTAGACTTTTCAATCTTCTACAAAGATAATGAACATCCAGCTTCATTTAAAACTCCAACTTCAATTAAATTTCTTTGTGAACTCGTTGAATCTGCTGAATAACAATTCATAGAAATCAACAAAACTGATTATAATATTAATCGTCAAACCTATTACTTTTATGAATACTTTAAAACTTTTCTTCAAACAGCAGCTCAAAATGATGAAATATTCAATTTAAGCTATGATCAAGCTATTAAAAAAGCTACAAACCAAATCACAGATATTCATTTTCTAGTCAGAATTATTATCTATTTTGAAATACTTAAACAAAGTAGCACAAATCTTTCTATTTCTTTCATTTGGAAAAAATACAATGAAGACTATTTTTCTCAAACTGAATCTCTTATTATTAAGGAATTTAAATATATTATTCCAAAAAAAATTAATGATCTTGACCTCTTTAAACCTATTATCTCTCAACCTCCTTTTCAAAAACCTTTCTGCAAGTAACATTAAAGCAGCTGCCACCTCTGAAATTATAATATACTCTACAAATAGTAGGTCATTTTTAGAGAAGAATGATGTAAGTAGATGGGTAGTAAAGCCTATTTACACAGAAGACTGGAATTATGATGGTCAGGCCCAATGTATAGGGAAGACTACAGTATCTTTCGCAGCTGTGCGAACTGAGCTTAAAACAGTGAGCGACCTTGCAGAAACCCAATACCCATCCTTGAACTCCAACTTCTCTTCTAACTTTAAGGATTCTTCTTGTTACAATATCTTCCTAATTCACCATAATCTTCCAACTCTATCACCCAATCAAACACTTTTAAATTTCCTCCAACATCTAAAAAATAATCTATTCAATAAACCATTTAAAATCTCTATCAATACTACATTTACTGAAACACATGTTTATAAAAACTTAAACAATAATATAATACCAAATTATACACTTCTCTCTAAATCTCTTTATTATTAATATTATGATTTACCTATCAAATCATATCGATAATTTTCAGTTCCTAATATATTAACAGACTCTGATTTTTTTAATACTAACAACCTTAATATCACAAATCCTATCTCTTCTATATTACATCCATCTGACACTACTTTAACTAATAATATTCTTTTTCTTCAAACATCCCTTATATCTACAATTTCAATTTCTATAAAAATCGGATCTTTAAATATTAATAGCTTACTTTAATATTCAAAAAAGAGCTCACTCATTGATATTATTAATCAACATAAGTTTGATATCTTTAGATTATTAGAAACACATTTTAGTTCTAAAGAAGGAAAATTCTTCAACCAAAATCTTCAAAACCATAACAGCTTTTGGAGTTTTTATGAAAATCCTCACCAAGCAGGTGTTGGAATTTTTATACATAAAAGAATCTCTAAATACATTGTCAGAACACACAATTATAATGGTCATATAATTGGCTTAGATCTATATTTTAAATGCAACTCTATCCGTATTCTTCAAATTTACCTTCCTACTTCAGAGAAAAAACAATTACATGCCAAAATTCAAGAACAAATTATTTTACTCTGCAACAATTCTAACTATCAACTCATAATACTCGGTGATTTCAACAGTATTCCAAACCCCTGCCAAGATAGAAATCTTTCAAAAAACATCTCTATTCCAGAATCTCAAATCCTTAAATACTTAATTAGTCATCAATTTAAAGATATATATCAATTTTTCTTTCCTACAACATTAAATTTTACATTCTCTCACTCAACTTCTAATAGCAAAATTGACCAAATATAGACAAACTTAAATATATCACAAATTAAATACACTGACATCCTTGAGGATATCTTTTCTGAATCAGATCATAAAATTATTACTCTTGAAATTTCTATAACTATCAACAAAACTAAACCCTCTAAACAACATACTAGGAAAAATTTTCTTTGGAAATCTTGCTTTAAAGAAAATATTAAAAACTATTCAAATTAAACATCACAAAGTCTACACCAATTACAAAACCAAATATCCAACATTTCAAATTAAAATGAACTCAACATAATTTGGAATAAAATACTTAAAGCACTTACTAAAGTTGCTCTAAAAAACATTCTTTACAAAAATATTAAAACAATTCAGGAAATTAAAAATGACCAATCTTCCAAACAACATGCACTCTTTTACAGATATAAGCAAATACAATATTTAAAAAATCATCTACAATCATTCAACTTTCACAACCTTCTTAAAGAATATATAACTAAATACTCTAAAAACCTTATTGATATAACCTCTAACAACTTACACTCCTTAATTAAACAAGAATTTAATCAAATTAAATTAGCACTTAATACCTTCTACCAACAACAAACTCAAAAAAAAAAATTGAGGATCACAATCAACTTTTTCAATCACAACCTAAAAAATTCTTTAAAAAAATTCCTGAAAAATATAATAGTATAAATATTGATAGACTTCTAACAAATAAATCTTTATTAACACAAGAAGATCATATTAAACAAGCTATCCATGCTCATTTTACCGAATACTTTAATGAAAAACCTTTTCAAGAAATTCAACCTACATCTGATTACTATCAACTATACCAACCTCATTCTGAACTTGAAATACATTACCAAAACTTATTCAACAATATCTCTGATGATGAATGGCAAAATACTATTCAAAACCTTCTTCTTCAAAAAGCTGCAGGCCCTCTCAAAACAAACTATGAACATATTAAATATGTAGGCCATACTGGCCAAATCTCTTTTAAATTATTTATCAACAAATGTCTTCAACTTCAAAAAATTATATTTGATTAGAAAACATCCAACATCTTTCTTATTCCAAAAAAATTATCATAGAACTTTATACTCAATTAAGTCCACCCAATCTCAATTATAGAACCAATGAAAAAATGCTTTACTAAAATTTTTACACAAAGACTAGATCATATTATTAACTCTAATAACCTTCTTTCTAATCTTAACTTTGCTGCTACCAAAAACTCTTCAATACACATTCCTATCCAAATTTTTAACAATACTATTGAACACTACAAACATTCTAACAAAGAAGCCTGGATAATATTTTAAGACATGTCCAAAGCCTTTGACAAAATTAATATATCTTAATTGCAGGACATTTGCAAAAGAATTGGTATTCTTTTTAAAGGAATCCAACTTATTACTGAACTATATACAAACTGACAAGCAAGAATAATTACTGCATATGGCCTTACATCACCTGTCCATATCAAATCAGGTATTGAACAAGGTGAAACATATTCTCCTTTTTTTTGGAAAATTTATTATAACCCAATTCTGATTTATATTCATAATAAATATAATAACCATCTACTTAAAATTACCTTCTCTTCACCACTTGAAATTATTTCTAATATTTCATCCTCTTTAATAACTATACCTTCTATGGCTTTTATGAATGACATTGTTTGGCACAGTGAAAATCCTGAAACCCTTCAACATATCTTTAATGATACACAACAACTATACAATCTTAACAACATTGAAATTAATCCAACTAAATCTGATCTTTTATATATCTCTCAAAACAAAAACAAACTAAATATTACTATACCAACTCTTTATTATAATAACTAAATAATATCTTTACATAAACCACATGAAATCATAAGATATCTCAGTATCTATTTTGATGGAAATGGTTCT